AACGATAGGCCTCTTAGAAATATCTTGATTATGTAATGGCGTACGCGTGTAAATGCTGCCGTAAGTTCGATTAAAAGAGAAAGGTGTTTGTTGATTGTTGGGATTATAAGTTTTAGTCCTTGAATGTCCTTGATTAATCTCTAACTCTTTTGTGATAAGATGGCCTTTTGTACCATTATAATTAACGTATATTCCGTACGGATAGAATGGTTTTTTAGAAATTTGTGTTGAATTTCTATCATCTAAAAAAAGGACTAATTTAAACGATTATATTAAAAGCATAACTTACTTCATATTGAATTTACAATTTTTTTTAGATACGTAAATAGTTATAAAACAATGATCTTTCATTTGATATAAGCGTACCTGTCGATACTTGTCCTTTCGCTTGTAAAAAGACATTGGTTTTAGTTAACCACTTATCCATTTTTGAATCAACTTCCTTGTCATTCGTGGTTTGTTGCTGGATATTAGTTCTCGCAAGCCATTCGCGTAATTTTTCTTCTTTATCGATCATATCTATATATCAATATGGTTTTTAACGATTATAACGGTTCAAAAAAGAAATAGGGCATATATTATTTTATATAGATAATATAATAGAACTTTGCATATCATAAATAATAAAGTTAGTTTTATAGCTTGCAAATCATGTTAAAATTTAACGTAATCAAATACCCTTTTTTTTTTGGTTACCGATTATCGCTTACCATTTTCTTTATATTTTCTTGATTCTTCATCCTCAGAGAACAAACCTTCTTCATTCGTACGATGATATCCTTTCAGATAAAAAATTTCCCAATATGGATTTATATAACTGTTATTTGGGGATCGAGCATTAACAATACTAACCCGTTTGTTTGGAGAGTAACCCATATAATTCAACATGCTATCAAAATAAATTGAACAACTCTCATCATGCCATGCAAATCGTTTTAAAGCCATGCAAATATTTGCATTCTTGTTTACATGCCGACCTATTCAAATAATCAAATAAAAAACCGCAGAGAAAAGACAAGAATTCATTTAAAACATAATACAAAATCACCTTGGTTCCATGGTCGAGTCGGTGGTTGATTAGGAATTTGTGATTGATTATTCCATGTGTCAGGAACGAAAACATGTGGCCGATTTTCGGATGAAATTGATCGATTCCATGTAATATTATTTTGATTTGGTTTTGGAAAATATATTCCATTTCGTATATCAAAAGTTCTATTCGTTCTATTTCGAGATTTCATATCGTCGGGCAATATGTAAATGTTTCTTTTCAAAGTTGTAGATTCATTCGATTCTCTATTAAAAAGTTCAGGATCGATTCTATTCTGCGTTTGAACAGTGCTATTGAATTTGTTTCTAACTGGTCCATAAGGTGTATAACGCCGAATCAATTTATCTTCAATCGTTGTTAATTCAGTTCTTGAGTGATTATTAATTTCTCTAAACGTATTTAGCGTTTGCTGATTGTCAAATTCGTCATTATTTATCTGAGGATTGTGCTCATGATTCAAAGGATTGCGATTCCAAGTTTCTTCAGTGACATGTGAAGTTGAAGAACCTTGTTGGTATCCATTAGGTCCAGATATTCTTCTATTAGCACCTTCGTATTGGGAATTATTAGAATTATTAATATGATAATAATGATGATAATGCTGATGATAATGATAATGTTGATCACAAGGGTCTTGATTTTGTGCCATTTGATTCGTAGTATTACAATCCTTTCTGGTCGTAGACTGTCCTGGTCCTGAAAAATTATCGTTATGATGGCCTTGATGGTGAAAATGATCCTGGGACGTTTCGATTTGACTATTGCGGTTATTGGTAGATCCCATGGAATTATGTTGATTTTGTTGAATATAACTTGGTTTTTGAATTATCGGCCTCAACGGTAATTCTGATGATTCAGTCGTAGTCATAGGCTGAACTTCGGTATTCCAAGAACCTTGACCATGATGATCATAACGATTATAAGTGTGATTATATCGAGGATGTTCACGCCAAGACCCTGGATCTCCTCGGCTATGTTGCGGCCAAGGTCTGCTTGTTGTCGTAACTTGCTTTAAAGTTTCCTCTGACAAATCAGTAATACCAATAACATTTCAACTTTGTTTAACGCATACTATCGTCGTTTAAACCTTAAATAATTATAATTGATTATTACCTTTTTTACAAGCTGGTACTTTGTAAGGCCAATCGCATACCGATATAAGTGGATTAAAAGCTGTTCCAGGTCCACAATCCATCACATACGTAAAACCATTCGCACACTGCAAAAACTTTCTACAAGTTTCTGGATGAGGTAATAATCCTGTAAAATCTGCAGGACACTCGATCTTTTTTGCGGATAGCTGTGTATTATATTTCGATCGATCAACAAAAATATTAGTACGATTGTGATAAGAATCATGAAAATTTTGATTCGGTGATACTTTAGGATTCTTTGTTGTATCCTTTTCTAACTTTAATGCATCTGTTAATTTAAACAGAATATTGATTTATATCTTTATCATCATATAACAAATATTTCACACTAACCTTCGCAGCCTCTCACATTGTAAGGCCAATCGCAGACGTTAATGGCAGGATTGAAAACCGTACCAGGACCGCAATCCATCTCGAATGTGTTTCCATTGGCACATTGCAAAAATTTGGTACAATTTGTAGGATGTGCAATAAGACCTGTCACGTGAGATGGACATTGTGGTTTCTATTAACAAAGAAATCAAAGAAAAAATAAATAAATATATATATTTTTCTTTATGCTTAACGAATTAACAAAAATTTGTTAAGATGAATACATATACGTACTTGTAATTTTCCTTGTTCCGCGTTGATTTTCAAAAAGTAAGCGTTTGAGTAACGCATAAGATCAGACTCTTCTATGCCGTAACATTTAACTTTATGCGGAAAATCACATTCCAATGTCTCAGGATTAAACAAAGTACCAGGAGCGCATGGTTGAACGAACGCTTTGCCTTTCCAGCAGTTGACAAAAAATTTACAATCGGGAGGATAAACAAATTGACCAGTAGATTCTAAACTTGGACATCGTACACCCGATTGAGGATCGTAATGCGCTACTGTCAATATGGATTGAGACAAAAATAAGATTCTCTCTTTTCTCGGTTTCTAAAAACAATGCAAAATATTCGATTGATATAGGTATATTTATATAATATTCATTCGAATGAAGAATTTATATTGTAATAGCAATATAAATTAAATATAAACTCTCTTAATCGTACTATCAAAACGTTTATGTAACCAAATTAAATAGTGGTATTATCAACAGTCTCGTTGTTAAACAAAAAAACAAAATTGTAACATTACCGTGCTTTCACTTCCGATCCCTTCATATAACAGAGTTTGATCGTTATGTACGGGTAACTTGTGCTTTGATTCCTTTAGTGAAGTTTCAGAATTGTTGTGATCTTGATAAACATTATTATCTTTGGAAGTAGAACCATATTTGTATTGATCTTCTGGAAAAGGCTTCCAATCGTCAATTTGACCAAATTGATCTTGATCGTGATTCTGTTCGAATTGATCATCTATCTCTGTGCGTTGTTCAATTTCGCTACCAGAAGCTTTACGCCATGGTGTCCAAGATTTTCTATTTGAATTCACGATAACAGGCTTTCTTACTTGACTTTCTTCCACATCAATCCACCATTTAGCAGATCGTGCTAAATCATCGGGTGGCTGTAGATCTTTTTCGTTTAGATACCAAGGCAACGATAATTCACGACGATTCGGCGCTTTCGTTGTTATTTCTTTCGGATCGTATATCTATAGATCGATATTTTATATAATTGTGTAAAATTCGATAGAGAACGTCATTAAGAATATACTAATTACGTAGTAGTAGTAGTACTTCTACTCTTTCACTCTTGTAATTAAAGCAATTGACTCTCTTAAAACAGTTGTTCAAATATTGAAATATCTTTTCTTATTTATGCTAGAAACTTTATCTCAGTAAATTATTCATTCGTCAAGGATATTCCAATCGTTACAATTAACAATATGAGAAAATTAAAACATAGTAACTATCAATGAATTAATATTAAATATATCATTTTAATGTATAAATAATTTTCAAAGTATAATATATGTGTACTCAAATATATCTCTAAAAACGGAATGATGAAGTTGATGAGTTTTCGAAAAATATAATATTTCAGATTGAATAACATTGAAAGAAATGACATTGAAAAGGAATTTTTTTCACGTACCGCGGAAGTGAAGGTTCCAAGATACACCAGACAGAATATAACGTATAAACGATCGATCCACGATGTCATTCTTAATACAATTGAGAAACATGTAGCATAGCACACTATTGCTCACGCACTCATAAATCGGTCGGTATTGAATACAATTTTAATGAAGCTTGCACAGACACTGTTTTCTTCTGAAAGATAAACCAAAGAGACGAGAGAGAGAGAGAGAGAGCGAGAGAGAGAGAGAGAGAGAGGAGAGAGAAAGAGAAAATAGAGATGTTAAAGAGGGAAAAGGAAGAGAGAAAAAAACAGAAATCTAATATGCATAACTTCTTAGAAGAAAAGGGTTATCGATTTAGAGGGCAGATCAAGGGTCGCGTGATCGTCATCGTAAAAGAACGTAAAGCGAAGATTGCATTGAAGAAATAAGAAAAGATAAGAAAGAGATAGAAAGAGAGAGATAGAGAGAAAGAGAGAGAGAGAGAGAAAGATCTTTATTGACTACACGCAGTGTTAATGTGTATACACAGTAATCGAGCAAATGCACACAGAACTATTTGCCAATTGATTCTACGCGAGAGTAAATTGCCTCTTGTTTTACTAGTCATCGAGCTCATAAAGATTCCGACGTAAACTCGATGTAAACGCAAGGGAAAAAGTAACAACATTATACATTCAAAATTTGTGAGAGCTTTATTTTATCTTCTTACGTTTTAGTTTATCTTAAGTCGATAATAAAAGAACAAAAAGCAAGAAGGAGAATTTTGCCTTTTTTTCAAACAAAACGATATTTATTTTTCCGCATTTACATTTAAATCTCGTGACGTACTTGGTGACTGATCACTTAAAGAAATTGTGGATGTATTGTATTTTTTAATTTCTCAAGAAGATTAATGTATAAGATTACGTATATCGGAAAAGGATTTTCTTTAAAACGTATTTTTCGATTTCTGTTGGTATTTCCCAACGTTTCATTCCATATATATGAAATGTTATTAACGCTAATAATAGAATGCATATCACGTAAAGAATACGCTGATTTAAAATGATAATAAGCATTTAATACTTCAATATACAGATAATGAATCAATTTCAAAATTAATCATAAGGATGCCGTATCAATAATATGCAAAAAATTCTTATATTCTATAATAATACGCTCTCATTTATTTTATCTTTATTTCTCTCTAATAACATATTTACATATGTAACGTGTGTTTTATTTCCAAAAAAATTCATCATCCTCGATTATTACAGCCATCCCGATTTTGCAAAGGATAATCGCACGTTCCAATCGCAGGATTAAATTCGGTGCCAGCACCACAACTTAATACAAAACAGCCACTAGCATCGCATTGTTGATATTTAGTACAATCGCCAGGATATGGCATAACTTGAGCCTAAAAAAATATAATTTATTTATTTATTCTTTTTTTCTTTTCTTTCTTTTTTTCAAATGTAAAATTCGAATCGTTTCGTATTGTTCGATATATTATTTAAAAAAATATAAATTGTTTCGTACGATACTTGATTTTTTCATTAAATGAATAAAAAATAAAAGGGATTTAGAAAAATCACTTACCACTGAATACTCAAATAGATATAAACTCATACAAAGGAGTGCTAACAATAAAATAGCGTTAAACTTCATCTTGATTCGTCCTTTGATTCACAGTCGTGATTAAGCCTCCTCTGATCAAGGAATGGTCTTTATATAGAGACACGGAAAATAAGGAAAACAATTTATCATTATTAGAATTCGCTATCACGGAAATTATTTCTTTTTTTCCGCGTTATCGATCCTGTTTTAATTGTGATTGGCTCACGTTACGAATAAGCTTGCATCGACTTTATAGATCGCACTTAAGATCAAAGGTGCAGTAAATATATATATTTTTATATAAGTGATTATACTTGCCTTGAATATAGTACAAATTAGAAAGATCGTACGAATGATAAATTAACAGCATATAATTAGAAATCATTTTACATGTATTTTTTATTTAATATTTATGTTAAATTAATATATATTTAATACTATTTTCACAACTTTAGAATATTTATTTTATGTATCAATCATTTTAATCTTCTCATCAATTGTGCTCTATTCTTCATCTTCTCATATAAATAACTATATGGATGTGATAATTCTGAATCAGTTTCTGGAATTCTTGTTAATCTGCGAAACTTTGGTGACATCAATAAAAATTTTTGACACAGACTAAAAGCACTATTCGTTATCCAATATAAGCTCAGAGACTGAAATAAATTATTATTTTTAAATATATATTTATTTGATGAATTAGGAATTAATTGAAAAACATAATTCTAATAAAATTATTTCTTTATAACTTACAGAAGGTATATATGGTGCTAGAGGTATTATTATAAGTGCTACTAATCTAAAAAAAGTAAAAAAACCTTTCTGCAGTCGTGTAGGTTCCTTCAATCTGAACATGATTGCAACCTATAAGCAACAATTGTAATTGTAAGACTGAGATTTAAAATAAATATATTAATAAACAAAATTATTAATAGTATATCAATATCTTACCTCTATATTAGCTAAATTTATTAGTCCAATCAATACAGGTAATATAAAAAAATGATCTATATCTGCCAGATTTAATATCCAACCAAAACCACCCGTCGTGAGTTCAAGATAATTCTCATAAGCATCTATTTCAATAAATGAAAATTTTTGATAAAAATTTAATAGAAATATTTTATAATACTAATTATGTAAAAAATCATTCTCTCTTACAAATATTAGATTTGGGAAACATATAACATAAGTTTCTGAGTGCAAAGGTTGATATTATCAATATTGGAACTTCTATATATAGAAGAAGTATACTTTTTACTGGATGACAATTGTCTCTAACAATCAGATCCTTCCATGCTTTTCTTACCTACAGTAAATAGTTATATCACCTTACTAAATATAAAGAATTATTTTGAACGTTTATGCAATGAAACATATTAACAATAAAAATACATACCGAACGATTATACATACGTCTTGTATATTCTTCTGACCATTCATGTCTAAACATGTCCTCTTTAGTTTTTCTTTTCAAATTTGTAGTAATACCAACCATTTCATGTTGTAAATTTTCTAGCTTAGCAGTTATATTTTGCTAAAAATAATAATATAAATATATTAGTACGATTGTATTAATATCATATCATATCAGAAATACTTTGATATAACTTTTTATTTAATTCCAAATAATAACGTAACTTCAAATGAACCTTTAATAATATATAGTTTGAACATTTTTAATTAAAAGATAAATACATAACACAAAATGAACATAATTAAATACCTGATATATCGATAATGGTAAACTAATGATTAATCGTAGTAAACTAGTTGCCAATATTATAGTTGCCCACCATGGTAAACCTGTATAAGTATGTAACCATACTAAAGAATCTTGAGTAAATTCCACAGGTGTACTTCCAGATATAATATATATTAAATTAACATAATTTGTATACAAACTATCAGTCATTCCTTCAAAAAAACTTGAGATTTGTCTTACATTACAACGATTTCGTGTAGTAAAATCATTTTTGATAAAAAGCGGATTTGTTCCAAAATATGATGATCGTTTATTTATGATTTTATGCACAGATGTATGCGTGGAAATAAATTTACATTGTTTTTGATATATACTATTTTGTTTAGTTCTATTAATTATATGATTAATCTGATTAGAACATTCTTTTGATATTGTATTGTTAATACCGGTAGAATGAACCAATAGTGTTTTAAAATGGTTATCAATTAATGAATTTTTAAAAGAGGAATATGAACTAATATAAAAGGATTTATTATTAATTTTACGAAATATACAAATACTATTATGTAAATTTGTAATATGCATTACACAATGGCGAAAACTTATCATTCTTCTAAAAATATTAATATTTTTTAAATACACTCTTTTGCACTTTCGTAATGTTTTTTGAGGTTAGATGATATAATACTATATAAAATAGTAATGAAGTTTATTTAATGAAAGGTAATATATTAAAAAAATTTATACATAATAATATATAAAACATCTTATTCTATTACTATATTAGATTTTATTAAATTTATTTCTAATATTTATATTGGTTTATAGCCATGGTTTCCAACCAACAAAAGTACGGCCTAAAATATTTAAATCTGTCGCTTGATCTAATAAACATTCAACCTGTGAAAATATATTCATGAATATATGCAATATTGACGGAACAATTACTAATAATGAAAAATAAATTTTACTTGTTCTTCTGCTGTTAACTTATCATCTCTCATATTAAAACGAATACGTTTAATGCCATCATTGCCATTAACTATTACATAATATCTATCAAAATATTGATCACTATATTGATCCTTCAATTGTTCCAATGTTATTATTGATGGTTTATTGCCATTCAATTTTTTTTCCACAATACTTATTCTTTTCTGTGGTAGCCATTTCACATCTATAATTTACATAAATTAATTAATATACAAATATATAACTTGTAATTACAAATATATATATATGTGAAAGTTAATGTATAAATGTAACGTTATATAGTTCTCTATATTTACCTGTATTCACTTCTTCAACTCTTTCCAATGCTTTATTAACACTTTCTGTCCAATTTAAAGGTTCATGTATAAAAACATCTAAACATGCAAGAATAGTACTCTTATCCCACTGCAAAGCTTTTAAAACATGAATCATTGTTGCTCCAAAGAGATCCTTTTCAGTAAATGGTTTTAAGAGTCCAAGAATTTGAGGTGTCAAGCGAAATGGCATAAGTTGAGGTATCATTGAATCAATGCCAGCATCAAAAGCCTGATCAAAATCGACACCTAAACATTTCCCTGATCCAATTGAAATTAAAATGTTTGATAAATGACGATCTCCAATACCCAAAATCCAATGTACAGCACACATTGTGGCATAACTAGTAATAAAATTTCGTCTGAATGTTATAAAACTCTCCGGTGATGGACATAGTATTATGCATGTTTTACGCAACAAATCCCATTCTGTTTTAGCAATCAGTTTATTCATTTGTATAGTAACTGCATTAGCATCATATTTTAAAGTTGCTTCTTTATATTGTACTGCTAACTTTCCAGAAGATCCAGCTTTTTTAATCCATGCAGTGTAGTCTGTTTCAATGGTTTCATAATGAAGACGTTTATTTTCAGGAATAGTAAAAGAAATTAAATCTTGTAGTGGTTTAGTATTTTTAATCCATTGTATAAGTCCTAATGATGTTGATAGTGGAATTACCTGCAATTAATATATAATAAATTATATTTTTATTTAATTTAGATATATGAATTATTTATGAAATTACATTATAAATTTACATACTTGATAAGTATCAATAAATAAATGACGTTGTTTACAAGCTATGTCTGTACTCAAAGTTTTATTTATGATTGAAAAAGTTTGTTGTAATCTTTGATCGAGTCTTAAATCTTCTCCAAATTTGTTTAAGAACATATAATCCTTTGCATCATCTCCTACTATAGTGATACGAACTGGTTTACGTAATGATTCCATAACTTTTACAATTGGTTCTATTTTCATAATCTTAGTATGATATTGTGGCATGGGTTTTCTATAGCCTGTATATTGTCCTGGTACTTCTAAATGACTTTCATTAAACTCACATAACCACGGACTATAATCTTTCAATAATGTACTGATTTTCCTTGCTTTAAAAGATTGTTTCAGAGTTTCATTTATAATTTGTAAATATTGACGAATTTCTTTCTCGTCTTTCATTGTTTCAAGTCGTGTTAAATTAAATTTACTATTTTTAAAGATACCATAAATATTTCCTGGTCTTGGTTCATTTCTATTTTTTTTTGAAGATGGATAAATTTTTTTCAACAACGTATCAATTGCAGTTGCTGTACCCTTGGACAAATTTTTAATACATTCATGGAGATAATACTGCAAATATGATTCTGGTTGAACTACATATTGCATTGCCTCAAGAAATTGTTCTAATTCTCGATTATCGTATAGAAATTGCCTGATTTTATACATTCGTGAATCATTCATGGCACTCGGATTCGTTTGTATTGTTAAACGAAGTGTGTATATAAGAGCATTTGGATAATCTTGAATAATTCTTTCAATAATCGGTATGATCAAATCTGCTATTGATGTCCCTAGATGAGAAAATAATTGTGCCTGCCATCTAAGAAATAGCCAAGACTGAATTTCGCTAGTATTGCTTATAAAAATCTCTTTAACTTCATCATTATTCAAATACTGATATTTCAATAAACAAGGAAAATAATGTGCTGCATCTACTGAACCATAGCTCATTGCTTTTAATGTAGAATTAACAAATTCTTTAAAAAAATTAATATTATTAGAAAATTTACAAAGTTGATCATAACAATATTTTGACAAAATAAAATAACAATCTTTTTTATTTCCAATGCTACAACATTCTTTCATTTTATTAAAGCTATAAGATTCCAGTAGATTTCTTATATTCTCAATATTGCTGAATTCGACACATAGTTCTTTTAAGATTATGTCATTTTTAAATAATATATCAGCAAATTGTGTATTTTCATAACTTAATTGTACAAATCTTGTAGCTAACATACTTATATGTTGTCTAGTAGCAATATGTAGCAAAATATCAAGATTATTTTGATATAATATTTTATGTGAATATTTCCATGAAAAAACATAATAAGATAATTTTTTTTCAATAACTGATTCATCTTCTCCTTTTAGGTATTTAAGTTTAGCTGCAGTTAATATATATTTATGCTTAATTTGTGGTAAACAGGAATCAATCTGTTTCTTCAGACAGGAAAAATGTTCACTTGCTATAGATTTATTTCTGTGACTTATAGACATATTAATCATATCAAGTGATAATTGATAAGAAATATTCTGTAATTCATTAATATACTTATTTTCTTCATCACTTTGTGTATCAGTTTCCATTATACTTTTTATATGTTTTATATACAGAGGTACAAAGTTTGTCCTATACAAGATCAGTTTATTCCATAAGAGAAGGTCATCTTGTATTGAAGGAATATTCTTAGACCAAAATCTTAGTAAATTTTGTGCACCTTGAGTAGTTTCTGAGACCTTCAAATATTTTAAAAATAGATCAATGTCACTGATTCCATGCAGTTTTTCCAATTTCTTTTTTTTAAGTTGAACTGATAGTGGATGTAGATGTATCCACTCTTCTCTTAGTTCATCAAGAGCAGCATTTAGAAAATCATGAGCAATGGTTTGTTCTTCATTTAAAAAAAATAAAGCTATATCTTCTCCAAAATTACGTTTAATATAACTTAATTTCTGTTCATCTTCAAACCAAACGTTTAAAACTTCCTTAAATTCATTAAACTCTAAACTTTCATCTGAAAGTAATGATTTGTGTACATACACCTGAAACATCCATGGAAACATCCAATTTTTCCATGTATCATTCCAAATATTTTCAAAATTTTTATCCAATCTATCTTTTATATATTTATTAATTTCGTCCCAATCTGACAAATGACTCAAGCATTCGAATAAACCTTGGAGACAGTGTTCTTTAATTAATCCTGTTTCTAATGTATAGACAGTTTCATATGCAGATTTTCCTCTTATCCAATCAGATGTAACTCGTGCAAAAGATGAGTCCTAGAATAAAATTTGGGTTTTGCATAAATAACAATAATAATAATAATAAACATTAAAATTAAAAGAAAGAAATATATTGAGAAATAAAACAATTGTTATTGTTTGTATGTAATATGTATATTACATAATTCAATACCTGTAAATGTTTATTATCAATTTTATCTCGAAAAATGCTTAAAACAATGTCAGTTTCATTCATAGATTCATAAAGTTTCGCTAATTGTATCCATTTATTAGTCTGCTCATTGATTTCATTCTCAATCAAATGTATTCTTTTCTGAGGTGGTGGTGTTTCATCTAAATAATATATTATATTTTCTTCTAAAAGAAGTGTAGCAATCGAATTAAAATTATTTGCCTTAGAAATCTTTGCTGTAATGTCAGGAGAACAGTCAATTATATGACATGTAAACATTGTTTCTAACACTGCAGCCATGAGGGGAGATCTTCCTTGACAGTTACATAATATTTGCTTTAAAATTGAAATAATATCATTGAGGATATTTGTATCCTGTTGATTTTTAATAGCTTCTATAAAAGAACTAAACATAGTAACTGTTATGTCTTTACAAATCAGTTGATCCTTTTTGATTAAGTTTTGCAGCGATTCAGTTAAATCGGAAAGAGTAATTTCAATATCAGGAAAGTCGCCTAATCTATACTCCCTACAATTTTGCAAAACAAAATTATAATGATATACTCTTAATGTTTCTAGTATATGTATATAAAAATACTTACCTGCATAACTTTACACTATTCCTTTGTCTTATTGCTTCCTTTTTTATCATTTCAGCATGTTGTGAATTTTTTGTTATTTCTTTCTGTTTTATAAAATCTATAATAACAGATTGATTGGCTACAAATCTTTGTGATCGTTTATTATCAGCAGGTTGTAAAATCTTTGATTTTTGTAAATTCCTATCGTATTCCATATCATTCAAAAACATTTGGTTGGCACGATCTTCATCCAGATATGTCGGTTCAAATTTTGGATCTTCTGTTGCACGTAACTTTATGTTGATGTTACTATTTTGAGATGATGTATAAAAATAATCAAAATTATCTATTGAAGATATTGTTTGAGTAAATACTTGAGTCATTTGACTTGCCAACGAAGAAGCAAATAATGGTGCAACAGATCCTACATTTTTTATTTTCCATGATGGAACAATTTCATAATTTTTATAAACACATGTAGTTAAAGGATCGAACATTTTACTTTTATACTGAACTGTCTTTGTTAGAAGATGCAACATTGTAAGTGAAATAAATGGTAGAAAAACGTCTTCTATATTGGGTGAATATATGTT